GCCTCCTTTATTGCTAACAATAACTTTATGTTGGGGTAATCCTGTCCCCATTTTCAAACAGAAAAAAAGTAGTGACTGCCAGAAGCATAATTATAAATGACTGGTAAAGAAAGAAAACTGTAAAAGTGGGAATCAACATTAAAAAAAGAGAGAACAAGCACAGGGTTTTTTTGTTGTTTTCTTAGTGTAGTCAAGGAGTTCTATTTCTTACGCATCCCCCAATACATCACTGTATCAAAGCAGACCTTAGCTGAAGTTCATGCGTTAGTGACCTTGGCACGTCCTTAAAAGGCTATGGTAGTTTCAACATAGAAGGCAAGGCAATCTGCAATAAAAATCTTTTTTAAGTCCTGACACTTAAAAGATATGTGCCAATCAATTATCTGAAAATAAAATTCATGTATATTAAGCACTTCTTTTTACAATGATGTTAGATGAATGTGTTATAATAACAAGAGGTCTACCCCATTACACTGTACACACATACGATGGGTCAAGAGAAGGGATAATTACTTAACTACTTAGGGAAGTCAAGTCCTTATGGAGGAGGTGGCATTAGAGCCAGAGTTCAAAGAAGAAATAGAAGTTTGCTAGGCATCAAAACAGGATGGGAAGAGAGCACACTATGAAAAACATGAACAAATACAGACCTTGTTCATGTTTTTAGTGACCTTGACACATTTTAAAAAGGCTGTGATAGTTTAAATATAGAAGGGAAGGCAATGTGCCTAAAATTTTTTTTCAAATGTTATTTCAAACACTTTATTGAGGTGTGTGTCAAGCCCTGGGATACAGATGACCACAACAGTCTGTGCCCTCCAGAAGTGAAAACCTAGCTGGCAAAAGACATTAAAATGTAATTATAACACTAATGGTATTACAGAACAATAGGTGAGACATCATATAGCAAGACGGGAATTCAGCCTGGCGGCCAACTGAGTTTAGGGGCAATACGAAAATGTTTCCTGGAGAAGGTAAATTTTAGTTTAAATCTTAAAGGAAGGATAAGGCTGAGCACAGGGCCTGCAGAAGGGCAAGAACAAAGATCAAGGGCCCTCAGAGGCCATTCCAAGCAGTCTGGGATTTAACACACAAACAAGGAGCTGATTGTTTTTTAAACAAAGGGGTGACTTGACATCTGTCATTAAAGATAACTCCGGTGACAACATGGCAGATGTGCTAGAGAAAGGAGATACTGGCAGGGAGAAAAGAGTCCACACAGAAAACAATAAAGGTCTGAAGTAAGGCTCAAATGGCATGAGTTTACAAAATGAACAAATGACTTCATGAAGAAAGAAGAGATAAGGGAGATAAATTTACAAACATTAAACGGAAGCATCTACTAGATATTCAGGTGGCTACATCCAGAACGCAGTTGGAAATAGAGATCCTAAGTGAGTTTTCTAACTCGGCAACTATAGAAGAGAAAGGAGTAGATAAATTTAATATGATGTGATGGTGGGTCAGCCAAGTGATGATGACCAACAGGCAAAGGAATAGTTTGGACTGAAGATGGAAATCTGGAATTCGGCAGTGTACGGGCAGCAAGCAGCTAAGGCCAAGGCACAAGGAGATCTCCCGGGGAGAACATAAATCACAAGGTTATCTAGGAAATAATAAAGCTAATATTAACCTTATACTTACTATGGCTCATTTAATCTTCATAACCACCTAAGCAGTACACAGGTACTAAGATCCCATTTTACAGGTGGTTAAGTAATTTTCCCAATATTATAAGACAATCAAGGAACAATAAAAAAGCAGGGCAAGGAGAGATTAGAGGTGAACTGGGAGCAAGCAATGTTCAAAATCAAGGTAGACAATCCAAGAGGTAATCTATGGCCAGTATCATGGAAAATTTAAGTAGGCAAAAAAATGGAAGTCCTGGCTGGGTCGCTCAGTTGTTTCTAGCATTGTCCCAATACCCCAAAGTTGCGGGTTCGATCTCCGGTCACGGCACATACAAAAAGCAACCAATAAATGCATAAATAAGTGGAACAACACATCAATGTTTCTTTCTGTTTCTCTCTCACCCCGTTCCTCTCTCTAAAATCAATAAATTTTAAAAATGGAGGAAAAAAGCAGGGTGGGACATTGGATATTTCACAATTTGGGAACATAAATAGCTATGATTTACTTTATTTCTACAGGGCAAAGAAATGTATTGGACTGGGTTGCAAAATGAGTTGAGGAAGTGAAAATACTGATCATAAGACTAGTCTGGTAAGAGGTCAAGCAATGAAGACACCAGGCACTAATGTTTGCTAAGTCAGTAACATTTACTGTGCTGGATGCCAGGGTGCCAGGGTAAGTGTATCACATATCTCACCTAACATTTCCATTTTAAAAGTTGTAAAAGATTTGGAAATGCTACAAACCTGTTCTAAGTCACATAGCGAGTAAGTGGCAGTGAAAACATTTATACCCAAGATGATGTAAAGCAGACCAGATAACTATTTTAAAATTCAACACAGTGATTAAACAATTTCTTAAGAATCTAATCTATGCATTGGTTTTGTAAAGTTCAGTGTGATCGCATCTAACTTGGCTTAATAAAGTGTTAATCTGTTGCTGATTTCACCTAACGTATTTTTTATTTCAGTTATTGTATTCTTCAATTCTTTTTTTGAAAAATAAAAAAAAAGGAAGTGTTAAAATTAAACTGAGTAAATCTGAAGAACTAAATGTCTTTATTAAGCGATTCATGAATTGGGCAGCATACCATTAGCAACTAGAAGGGTGCTCTGATGAGTTGTACAAAATGAAAGGTTTTTATAGGCAGAAAGAGGGTAGGACTAAGAAATTAAGAGTAGACTATTTCAGGCAAGGACACCTTTCTATGGGGGAAGGCCAGGGTCTTATAGGGTAGGTTGATTAACATTATGCTTCTGGGAGAACTGAAACTGCAATCGGATCGGATATTAAATCTAGGTTTGGGATCAAGGGCTTTCAGCAAGAATGCTGCCTTATTGGGCCTATGGTTTTCTGTTTAACAAAAGCAAAACAAAAAGAACTGATTTGAGAAACAAATGAACCAAGTTAAAGGAAGTGTCAACTTTAGCCTGCCTACGGTGTTCCTATTAATAAAGCCTTCAAAAGAACCTATAAACCTATACAACAAATAAATATTGAGCACCTACTTTTGGTGAAGAACTTTGCTATAGCACTCCTGGGTTCAGTGGAGGGGTAAGAGAAACAACTGCAGTTAAATTTACAATCTAAAACATACAATTTCTCCCTCTTCCTTCTAAACACAGGTATGCCCCAATACAATCCCACAATATTTACATAACAATTAAGGTCATTAAGTCAATTAGCAAAGCTAAAGAACACAGACTGGTTCTCTAACATCTGTAGGTTCACTTTATTCATTAATCCTATGTGATAAATTCCAAAAATAAATTTATTAAAAACTTTTTCCTTCTCAAAGGAAATAGGCACTCTTCCCTAGTTAATTATTTCCCATTCAAAAGTTCCTTCCTCTGTCCTGCAAGTCATTCATTCTTTGTGCCAGGCGCTGGGCCAGACTCTAGGGAATTAACACGTAAATAAGATGGACTAGCCAGCTTTCAGGAAATTTACATGCTAGCAGAGGAAACTAAGCATCTAAGTAATGCGGCGTGTTACAATGGATGATTAACTGCTGCTAAGGGAAACAGTGCTGGGAGAACTTTGCCTCAAAGCTCCTTCCAAAATCCATTCTCATGTCTAGACAACATACAAACTTCCCTAACAAGTCATTCATCCACACCATCTAACTTAAAGCAAAGAAGAAAAAAAAAAAAGCTTCAAGTTGAGTTCTATGTGCAAGGGAAAGGCCAAGTACTCTGGGG